CCCAAGAGGTCATAGCCTGGAGTGTGAGACACACAGGGCACACACATCCGAGGGGATGCTGTAACAAAGGAGGAAGAGAAAATAACCGTCAGGGGTAAACCAGAAGCGGTGATAACCCCCGCCTTTCCACAAACTAACTGCACAGGGGAGCAGAATCTGGGGGTGGTCAGAGTGTGGGTCTGGGGTCAGACGCATGAAATTGAAGTTTCTTCCTAATTCTCTCTGTGCTTCTGTTCCCTCCTCTGTGAAAGAGGAGCAATAGGAGGGCCTGCCTCATAGGATTGTCGTGAAGATTAAATGAGATAACACGTCCACAGCACTTAGAACAGCACCGGCATCCCGCAAATGTTCATAAATGCTGATTACCATCATGACGATTACACAGCCATTCAAAAGAATAAAGTCCATCTGTAGGAGCCGATACGAATGGAAAGCGTTCCAAGATATACTGATTGAAAAAATCCATTTACAAATTTGTAATGACACCTTTATTAAACAAAAAAAATCTGGGTGTGTGAGCACAAGCACACAAGCCTGAAACATTTCCTTTAAAAAAAAATCACAAGGGGCCTCCCTGGTGGCGCAGTGGTTGAGAGTCCGCCTGCCGATGCAGGGGACACGGGTTCATGCCCCGGTCCGGGAAGATCCCACATGCCGTGGAGCGGCTGGACCCGTGAGCCATGGCTGCTGAGCCTGCATGTCCGGAGCCTGTGCTCCACAATGGGAGAGGCCGCAACAGGGAGGGGCCCGCGAACCGCAAAAAAAAAAAAAAAAAAATCACAAGGACACATTAACAGTGATGATCAAAGGTTAGGAAGGCGGCACTTTTTATTCTGTATCTTTCTGACGCATTTGAACTTTGTAATCCTATACAAAGCGTTCCTTGTATCTATTTTTAAGTATGAACAGATGTGATCCAGGTACAGGGATCAGGGTACAAATTCTGTATTCTTCTTTAAGCTTCTCTATATAAACGTAACTTTTTACACTAACATTTTCTCCCCAGACCCCTTCATATCATCTAAATTTTAAATGGCCATCACCCAAATCATAGATTCTTGCCTCTGCGGGGTATGGCTCGTGTAATCTGTATGAATCAGCGTTACCAAAGCTGATGAGGTGGAATTATAGGAAACTTGCTGGAAACTGCATGAACCTGGGAACTCGTGGGAGTGTGCTTCCTGGGTCAACTCCACCGTCGGTGTCCTATGTGTCATGTGTTTCTGGTGCGAAAACATTAAAACTGCTGAGCTAAACCCTCCCCCTCCTAGTTACTCAAATGTAAACGATTTCAGATGTGGAAGTTGCCTACGCTCATTTTTGTTGCTGTTGAGGTGCAATTCGCATAACCCAAAATTAATCATTTTAAAGTGAACAATTCAGTGGCACTCAGTCCATTCACAGTGTTGTGTAACCACCACCTCCATCTAGTTCCAAAACATTTTCTTCATCCCCAGTAACTCCATACTCATTAAGCAATTACTCACCATTCTCTCCGCCCCACAGCCTCTGAATCATACATCTACTTTGTCCCTATTGATTTACCTATTCTGGACATTTCATACAAATGGAATCATACAGTACGTGATCTTTCGTGAGTGGCTTCTTTCCCTTAGCATCATGTTTTCAAGGTTCAGTCACAACGTCCTGTGTATCAGTACTTCATTCCTTTTTAAGGCTGAATAATATTTCATTGTGTCTAAACCACAATTTTTTTAGCCAGCCTCCACTGATGGACACTTGGGTTGTTTCCACCATTTTTGGTTGTTGTAAATAGTACTGCTGTGAACATTCACGTTACAAGTATTTGTTTGAGGTCCTGTTTTCCACTGTTTGCAGTATATACCTAGGAGTGAAATCGTTGGGTCACAGGGTAATTCTGTCTATAACTTTTTAAGGAACAGCCAAATTTCCATTTTCCACAGCAGTTGCACATCTTACGTTTCCGCTACCCATATAGCGGTTAAAGAAGAATTACCATAGGCAGAATTCTGACTTGCAGATATAGAATGAACACGTGTTAAAGTCTTTATTAACCTCATTACTAATGAGAGTATTAGTGAGGTGTTACAACCAATTCACAGAAGTCAGAGAAGCACAAATTTATATGGATTAAAGGAATGATCCAATTAAATGTTGAAATGAATTTACAAATGGACAAGAAACTGACTTTTTTTCCTGATGCTGGGGGAGGTCATTTTAATCACACAAATAGATGTTTTTTCCATGTCTGTAGACTGTAATTATTTTGCATTGCTATCAGTTACCTATAACTTACAGAGGCAAAAAGCAGATCAAGGACAAGAAAGGCCTAGCATCAGACACCCTGGAAGGCTGTTCTTTACATGATGCATAGTTTTCCACTGGGGACACCCGGAAATCTTTTCTGCTTATTCCAAATTTCCTCACAATATGACACAGGAAGTAAAAAGAGAAAAAACTAAAGGTGTGGATGAGAAAAGGAACTAGGAGAGGCAACTCCACACTAAATAAAAATGAGAACTAAAATGGGAAAAGATAAATGGGCCAACGTGCACCATGGGGTCCCACGACCACTGTACAGTTGGGGAGGACACAGGCCACGCGTGCCACGGGAGTCCACATGGCGAAATCTGGGGGCTAACGAGGAGATCTCTCTTGCAAACAAGACCCTGGTCTAAAAGGGAGGGCACCAAAGGCAGCGGACACGGGACAAAGAACTAACCGGGGCTGCAAGACGGCAAACCCTGGCACTGAGTCGGACAGTGCAGAGGTCTGTCACCGCTGCTGGCGGGTGTGAGGGCCCAGAAGCATCAGGAAAGACTAAAAGACCGGGTTTGGGCTGGGAAGGGAGGTTCCCTGGAGCACGTGTGGGTAGTGGAGACCCAGGAGTTTTCCCAAACCCACCCAGGGTCCAGCCTGGCATGCACCTGGGAGCCCGGATGGGGAGTCGGCCCTCGTGTGAACCAGCCCTTGTAGAAACCTAGGCAGTCACAAGTTGGCTTCATATAAACACTCGGGTATTATTATTTGACTTAATGCAATACTTCTTCTTTAAGTGATTGAGATATATATATAAATATTTCAGTTATTACATCTGTCCTCTTTATTTCCTGCAACAAACGCATTGTTTTGTAGCTTTCAAGCATATGAAAATTACTTGTGCATCTGTTAATCATTTCTCCTCATATGCTGGTAATGCCTGTACAGGGAAAGTTATCACACACAACTGAAAAAGAAAATCACAATATTCAAGGAAAATAAATCATTTTAAGCAAAACTGTTTCCATCCAAAGCAGGTCTAGGGGCTGACTTACTAAAGCGTTGTCACTGGGCTTCAGAGCCTGTTTACATTGCTTTTTTTTTTGGCTGTGTTGGGTCTCTGCTGCTGCGCATGGGCTTTCTCTAGTTGCGGCGAGCGGGGGCTACTCTTCGTCCCAGTGCGCGGGCTTCTCATTGCGGTGGCTTCTCTTGTTGCGGAGCACGGGCTCTAGGAGCGCAAGCTCAGTAGTTGTGGCACGAGGGCTCAGGAGTTGCGGCGCACAGGCTTAGTTGCTCCGCGGCATGTGGGATCTTCCCGGACCAGGGCTTGACCCCAAGTCCCCTGCTTTGGCAGGTGGATTCTTAACCACTGCGCCACCAGGGAAGTCCCTACACTGCTTTTTAAATGGGCATCTTCCCATTTACGTTTATGAATAAAAACCTATCACTTATTAGAAGACAAAGAGCTATGACGAGAACTGAGAATAGCCTTAGCACGCGGCTGGCGGAGCAAAGGCCCAACCCCCTCCCGGCTAGTTCATCAGGACTTGGCTGTTCCCTGTGGCATTAGCATTTCTTTACTCTTCCTGTTGGGACAAACGGGGTGATTGTTTGTGACAGGAACTTCCCAGAAGGCCCACCAGCTCTTCAACGGGAAGCATCCACAGGAGTTTGCACCCTAGGGTTCTAGGAAACCCTCAAAAACCTTGCTTGCTGTTTGCACCCATCCTGCATCGTGACAGTGATTCTTACCCAATGACAACTCCCTCCTGCTCGGAAAGACCTCCTTAAATCAAACTTGATTCTCAGCGTCGGACCTTGCCTCCCTCCACTGGTGCTGCCAACACTGGCTCTGCCAGGGAACTTCAGTATGTCCCAGACAGGCTGTTGGTGAGGACAGCTCTGGACAGGAGAGAGGGTGACCAGCCGGAGCCCCCATGACGCCACAGGCCTCCCGTCAAGAGACCACCGACTCCCCCTGCCTGACACCAGGGCCCCCACAGCAGTAGGACCTGTGGTCACTGCATCAGCTCGGCAAAGACACGGGTGCCACGTGGAAGGCAGGGGAGCGTTTCCAGATGCCGTCCCCCCAGACGGCAATCAGGGCGCCAGTGAAAAGTAACCACACCCGGGGGAGGGGTTCCCAAAGCCGGGGTGGCAGCACTGCTGCCGAAGTGCTGGGAGGCAGACGGTGCCTTAACTGAAACACACATGGAAGCTACAGGAAGCCCAGGCCAGGATGCATGGCCCCACCCCACCCCCCACAGCCCTGCGAAGCCAGCAAAGCACCAGGGGAGCCACCCGGTAGCCCACATGTGTGACCCCGGCCGGGGAGGCAGAGATGGGAAAGAAGGTGGCTTCCCAAAGGGCAGGTCCTCCCAGTGAAGGCTCATCGATTCCGACCCCACGACTTCAGTTCTTGTGATGTGTCTTTGTCACTTAGCGATGCCACCCAGTTCTGGAGCTGCCTATCCCAGGACCCTGTCTGCCACATCCCAGGGTGCCACTGGCCACCTCACACTTCACAGCATGCGATGCCCCAGCAGGAGTCCCACCTGCCTGAAAGCAGCACGTGCTGGGGTCTTGCCCAGGACCAGCAGCTTCCTGACAGGGTCTGGGCTCAAGACCCAGGGACCCCAGGGTACCAGCCAGGAGGAGCACGTCTGCACTGCCTGGAGACTACAGCTCACGACCCCCAAAGCCTGCTTCGAGGCCACGGCTGCCACTGCAGATTCCCACAAGGCAGCGTGCGTACCTCATTTCCCAAAGAAACCTGCTTTTTTGTTATCCCTTCTTTCTAGCACGGGTGCAATGGGGCCAGAAGATGTGTCATGATGGTGTGAGTTGCCTCTGGGTGAACATTAGTTCATCACAGAATTTTAAAATTTGCATTTGGAGAACTAAAAATACTTTTACTGTAAAGTGGTGTAATCCTGGTGCAATGAGGCAAGTTAAAGTAACTGCTGAGTAAGTCAACTTGTTTTTCCAGAAGCATCAGGGAAGTAGATGACCTCTACCGGTCCCCTAGAGAGGAAGAACAAACTTAGTCCTACCCAGAAGTTATCATATGACAGGCAGGAACCCCAGTGTTCTCAGGTTACTTGTGCTGTGTAACCGTTACAACTCGCTGAGACAGACAGTGTTATCAACGTTTGACAAGTGAGGGATCTGAGTTGAAGAGGTTCCACAAGCCAGCTTAAGGCTCGCTTCTCTCTCCTTCGAGTCCAGAGTCTGAAAGGACAAATCAAGTCAAAGCTCCGATCAAGCCATAAACTCACAGTCTTCAAATTCATAGTCCGGCAGTGACCTTGTTGGAACACAAAAGGTGCTTATGGGAGAAACTAGTATCGCTCCACGATACCCATGCTCCCCTTCACCATCAGAAAAAGAGCCCCGCCACCCCTGCTGGTCGAGGCGGTCAGGGGTCTTGGTTCTGGCCAACGGGGTGGAAGCAGAGGCAATGTGTTGACCCCGTAAACCATCAGAGCATCCTGAACCAGCCACCAGGACTGATCAAGAAGAAAGAGACGATTTCTCTCCTGCTTAAGTCACCAGACTTTCGGATCTCTTATTTCAGCAGCTCAGCCTGTATCCTCAATACAGCACATCGAAGAAACTTAAAAACCTGCATATCCCTCTAAACTGGCTATGAATTATCCTTAGAGCTTGTTGAACCTCATCACCTGTTTATTCCTCATTCATTTATAAGGTAAATTCATCCTGGCCCTGTGTCTGAATTCTCACAATTTCCGAATCCCAATTTATGAGATTTACCTGTAAAGTATGACAATATACCATTTCTTTAAACCCATATTCTTCCCAGAATATGTCCTTCTTTGGAAAATGCCACTCACCCATATTTAGCTATCGCAGGTGGTCTGTCCACCACCCAGTTTCCCAGTGGCCCGGGCTGGCAGGGCATCATTTGAACCAGGCGGTACTCTCTGCCCTGCTGGGTGGCTCTGGTCCTTCTCCAGCAGCTGCATCTACTTTCACACACATAAGGCCCAGCGGGGTTGCCACGGCAGCGAGCATCCTTTAAATGCTGGCTGGCAGGCCGGATGCCAGGACCAAGTCGTTGATAGTCCTGTCTTGTTGGTTAGCGTTAGAGCAGACAAAACTCTTTTTATGACCATTCAGCAACAACAGCCCTTAAAAGCAGCAGAAGGGGGTGGGGTATCTGCTGGAACCCTCTGACCTATTTAGAGACCCCCAGCTTGGATGCCTTATGCTATATATTTCAGCTGCACCACACATAACCACCCAACCGTCATTACCTGAGATTTTATGACAGGTATGGGTCAATTTGTTCTAGCCTGCGGTTTTCTGCCTTCTCAATGACCTATTACCAAGCTGAGATGGATCTGCTGTGACACCTGCTGTGTCCCGTGACCAGAATAATAAACACAACCAATTCACTTTGGTCACTCCATTTTTGGTGAAGAGCTGCAGTCGAGAACGACAGACATCTGCCCATTAGGAGCAGCACGTAATTAACAGCAGTGTTTACCCACCCGACACCGAGCAGTAGAGGGGCAACAGACTGTCAGCACGAGAGACCAGCATGACCCTCGCCATCCTGAATTATGGACGCTACACTCTACCTCCCACTCACCCTCAACTACAACCAAAATAAATACACTTACAGATTGAAATGACCTATGCTACGCATCCATTATTTTCTATGCTATATATTTTCATTATGTTACATGTATTAGGAAACTAGGTGTTTGTGTGATCACCTGCTACAGAGGCAGGACTGGGGCTAACCTTAGATTGAAACAGATGGCATTGCCAGCTCTGCGACGGAATTAAACTGGCATATGGAACCGCGCTTTTTATGGCGTTTGGAATTTTTATGTGCGTGACCTTGTCACAGGAGCGGAATCCATCATCTATGAAAAGTCATAAAACTGACAGTGTCACCTTGGCAAACCATTCAAAACCAATTAACCGACCTCCTGCTAGACACATAAATCCATTGATCCATCCTTACAATTGGCATATAAAACATGCATAAGTGCAGACAGGTAATACATTTTAATAGACATTTGAAAGAGTAAACTAGAGACAACACAGATTTTAAAACAAAAATAATGAGCCCTTGTCCCTCTTATCCAACATCTCAAAGCACTACTTTTTAGTCTTAGGGGAAAACTTGGAAGTTCACATAAAACAGTACTGTGCTTTTAATATACATTTGTGTATTCTAACACAAATTATACACCATTTTCAAGCAAATTTATCACCACTGTAATAGTCTGAAGGCTTTTTAGAAGCTGAAAGCATAACCCACTTAAGACTTCTGTTGCCTTTGGCGAATCTAATCATTAACATTTGCTGAATTGGGCTTTAGACACCTGATATCATGTTAACACCATCAGCAAATATTTGCCAAAAATTCCCAGGATGAATGCCACCATTTTGATGTTCTGAGTTTACAAATGAACGAATACAAATCCACACACATCGGGAAATTTCAGCTCTAACAATCAATAAATGAACAAGAGGGACCCCCCTCAGTCACAGAGAAGGCTCCCTCACCTCCAGCGTCACTGAGCGTCACCTGCTTGGAGGCCCCGGGCCAGCTCCGGTCCTCTGCAGTCCCGACAGGGGGACAGAGTAGTGACAGCGGTGGGCAGCAAGCTTCTAGAGCTTCAGTTCTAGGTTTAGGATCTAGAGTCCAGAAGCAAAATTAAAAGTTTCAATAATGACAGAGAAGATGCTATTTACTCTCTACATCAAGACGGTAAAGAATGGGAAAAAGGGCCCCTTTTCAAAAGAAGAAATAGATTTTGCTAGAATAAAATCACACACAACACTCCTGGCACACAGATGAGACAGCCTTGGCATCACCTGGGGAGTCCGTCCCTGCACGGTGACTCGGTCCCAGAGCCCAAGAACACAGAGCAGTCCCCACCCCAGGGAGCTTCCAGGGGCCAGAGCCGAGGACCGCCTCCCGGTGCCCCTTCTGTCACCCATAGCTGCGTCTTCCATCTCCCCTGCATTAGTCACTGAGGCCGGGTCTGCTGTGTGGCCTTCAGGCCCTGGGACCTGCACGTCGTCAGCTGGCTGGCCCCTCACCCCTCATCCTTACGCAGCCTGCACAGGCCCACAGAGCCGCTGGGAGTCAAGGCCAGGGAGGTGTCGTGCGCTCATGACCTTCGCTCGATAGGACCTAGTCGTCCACACCTGCAGTCTGCCGACCCGGCTCTGATGCCGACAACCTCACCACACCTGCGGCCCCGGCCAGGGCTCCACGCAGGGCATTCAAGCTAAAAGAGAGTTCCTGAAAAGATGTCGGCCTGGAAACAAAAAGGCACCATAAACACAGCAGAATAGTCGGAGCTGGGTTGAGGGCCGGAGGAGAATGAATTAACTCGAGCTAAAAAATGAGAGAGAGGATGTAGGCGGGCCTGGGCTGACGAGGCATTAGGTGAGGGTGTGTCCACTGAACCCTCAGCACCTAAGAGCACAACTGGGGGGTGGGGTGAGTCGTACCAATTAACCGGGGATTTTCAGGAAGCTGGAGAGCTGCGGTCGCCGCCGAAATCACACCAGGACATCAGGCGGGCCGGGGAGGTCTGCCAGGCACGGCTCCCCACAGCCGCCTGCAAGGTCACTGCCATCGCGGCTCCTGGGCAAGGGCCAGGGCGCAGGCCCCAGGCTGGTGGAACTAGGTCACCTGCCCGTGACCAAGCTGCCAAAGAGGTTCTTGGCCTTTTTCGCCTCTATTCAGAAGGCAGGATCTGCTTCCCTCTGAAAGTAATGCTACAAGGAATTTCCTAAAATAAAAGACAAGCATCGACCACATTCCCTGCATCTAATTCCATGGCTTATACAACTCAGACTGGACACTGCACCCAACTCCAGACAAAATTCAGTTTAGTTCAAGAGGAGAAGCAGCTCTTTCCTCAGGCACTTTTCAGGTGCTCTGAGAATCGTTCTCTCCCTACGTTTGATCTGAAACTAAGCCAAGCAAGTCTTCCATCCTGTGATATTTGAGAACGATGGGCAATTAACATTCCAGCTAAAGTGAGTTCCGTCACAGAGCTATGAGCCTGTTTCACACGCGTGAAATTTCACCAGTCACGTGCGTGGATTCACGTGTGAGGGTTCACGGGAGGGAAGGTGAGCCTGAAGACAGAGGAGAGGCTGGCGGCAGAGGGGCTGGGACACAGCGCCTGAGGGAACGCGGATTGGCCCCCCAGGGCAGGAGCAGAGGCTGTGAACTGGGAGGCAGGCAGCAGCCTGTCCACACCCCTCCTGGGTGACTCCTGGAAGTGATGACAGCCCAGGAAAATGGGAGGCTGGCGTTCGGGTTGGGACTCCATGAGGAAAGGAAGAATCAAAATTCTCCTAGAAAGAAGGCGAACCTGGGCCTCTGGATTCGCCCTCAATACTGAAGTGCATCCTCCTGGAAGCAGCCTCTGCCCCACCTGACTGGCAACAACAGTGCTGGACCCGCCGTGATGTGGGGTCAGCGCTTCCCTGACCGGAGCATATGCCCTACAGTCCAGCGCTACAGGCATCAGAAAGCATTAATTTGTCACGAAGAAGGACTCCAGCCCTGCTCACTATTTGGGGGAGATGAAGAGCCTAGGATCTAGGATCTTTTTTTTTTTTTTTTCGGTACGTGGGCCTCTCACTGCTGTGGCCTCTCCCGTTGCGGAGCATAGGCTCCAGACGCGCAGGCTCAGCGGCCATGGCTCATGGGCCCAGCCGCTCCGCGGCATGTGGGATCCTCCCGGACCGGGGCACGAACCCACGTCCCCTGCATCGGCAGGCGGACCCTCAACCACTGCGCCACCAGGGAAGCCCTAGGATCATTTTAAATGGACTGTGTTATACGTTAAGCTTGATGTATCCCTAACTTTTAGACTCACACTTCCCACTGACATAGCACTTTCTGGACTAACTCCAATGGAAGTAATCCCACTCACACTGAAGGGGAAAAATATAAAGATTCACAGCACGGAAAACACCCAAGTGCTGTAGATGGTGGAAACTGTAACTCACCACTCCACCTGCTTATTTTTCTATAACTGGTCCAAACACAGAAGCCATTGCACTTCAGAGCCAGGTACCACCCAGCTAAGCTCAGCTCACAGCATCACTCTTTCCCTTTAGCCACCCTCAAATTTTTCATTCATTAAAGCACCTTCCGGTAACCACTGAATGAATTCAATATATGCAGTGTTCCAGATTATCATTCTCGCTAAGGACATTGTCACAGACGAACGCAACTCTCAATACACTTGTACCTACAAAGTTCGTACACGTTAATAGTGGTTCCATGAGCAAACCAATGAACTAGATCCAAATTGCAGCCCTGAGTGTCCAAGGCCCCCTGAACCATTCAGTCCCCAAAAGTGACTCCTTCATGCTATTTCTAAACTTTCCTGAATCTGATGGATTCAGAAATCAGTGTATTTTTAATAGAACAATATAGAGTCCAGAAACAGATCCACATACACATTTTCATGAAATGAAAATCCACATTTTCATTTCATAAATGAAAATGAGATTTCATTTATGATAAAAATAACCTAACAGATCAGTAAATAATGAAGACTTAATCAATAAACAGTATTAAAACAACTACCTAGACATTTGGAGTGAAGAAAAAAACAAAAAACTTGAATCCCAGCCTGGCTCTTTGTACCAAAATAAATGCCACATGACCAAAAAAAATTTTTTTTAATTAAAAAAAATTTTAAGACACTATGAAAGTACAAGAGCAAAATTAAAATATAGGTAAAAAATTTTATAATACTAGAATGTGGAACAACTTTCTAAGCAAGACATAGACAACAAAACCATAAAGGAAAAGACTGATATATTTGACTAAATAAAGATTTTAAAATATTGATATGATTTTTTTAATTCAGTAAAAAGGTAAACTAGAAAGTAACAAACTGAAGAAAAGTTTGTACAATACAGATGACAAAGGATTTGGTTTCCTTTTTTTTTTTTTTTTTTTTTTTTGATAGGTAAGAAGTGGATTTCTTTAGAGAGAAACACACTCCACAGACAGAGTGTGGGCCATCTCAGAATGTGAGAGAGGCCAGGATTTGGTTTCTTAATATACAAAGAGTTCTCACAAATCAATAAGAAAAACAACCCAATAAAAATTAGGTAAATGATGTGAATGTGTAGGTAACAAAAAAAACAGTAAGTCAATAAACATATGAAAAGATGATCACTGTCATTCATAATTAATGAAATCAAATTAGAACAGATTATCATTTTTAATCTATAATATTAGCGAAGATAAAAAGTTCTGGTGATATTCAGTGTTGGTAAAGTGGCAGGAAATCATATCCTAAACACTGAATAGGAATATTCTGGTTTTTGATCTGGGCATTTACATAGGTTTGTTCAATTTGTAAAAATCCAGTATGCACTATATTAAGATTTGTGCACTTTTTTGCACTAATATTATACTTCAGTATAAAAATGTAAAGAAAGTGCTTCCCTGGTGGCGCAGCGGTTGAGAGTCCGCCTGCCGATGCAGGGGACACGGGTTCGTGCCCCAGTCCGGGAGATCCCACATGCCGCGGAGTGGCTGGGCCCGTGAGCCATGGCTGCTTAGCCTGCGCATCCGGAGCCTGTGCTCCACAATGGGAGAGGCCACAACAGTGAGAGGCCCGCG